TATGCCAGCTTGTCTCAGCGACATTTTGATGTAGGGGTACAACGCATTAGCGTTCTTACACTGTTTAGCATGAGCCAGAACCAGGGCATTATTCATTCTCAGCTTGCAGACTTTCAGGTACACGTCTTGTTGTTCTATTTTGTACTCTTTTTCACAAGCGCCAGACATAAGCGTAAATTGTGGACTGGATCTGAACAGTTTGTTACTGACATCGACTCCATTGAGTAAGTGATGACTGAGATTATTAAGCACATCTTCCAACAGTGGATCTGACATGGTTAGGGTTTTGCTTCCCGCAATGAAAGATGCTCGATAACTGAGACCATTTTTTCCTCCAGTAATTGGATCTGTAACATCAAAGTCAGCAGTTGTGTCACCAGGATCTTTGTAAAACAGCTGGGATTGAAGTTGACTCGAATTACCTTCCTCCCCATAACCTAACAAAGGCTTTGTAAGGATAACCTCCATTACCTGAACCAATTGACCTTGAAGGTATACCGCGATCTGCGACCATAATGCTTGAAGAAACTGGTATTAACAGGGGCCACATGCTCTTTGTCCTCCAGTACAGACCCATCAGTGTGGGTGACTCTCAAATGCACATGGAGACGAAATCGTTTTAAATCCAGGCAATCACCCCCTCCATTAGAGATGAGAAATTCTTAAAATAATGAAGTACAATACTTGTTTGATAAGGTGGCATTTCGAACAGGTCTAAACTGGATGCTAAGGACTCGCTAAAGTCTTTGTCAGTCAAGACGGACATAGTGACTTATTTGAATATATCCCTTTTTCCAACTGCAGCTGTGTCCTTGAATTGTAGAAGCGATGATTTGATCTTACCCTCACAATGCACTTTCTTGGTTGTGACAATCTTGTCACCAGCTTTGCGTGTTATGGCCCTAGTTCTGTTCTGTGATGCCTTGGCTCCTTCAACTATCTCCTGATTGTGTGACGTCACTTCTATTTTAGCTGTATTAGATTTGTTTTCTGGAGGTCTGCTGCTTAGGAATAATGTTAGTATCAAATGGTTTTCTTGGGTAGTTAGCGAAGTACTGAATGAACTTCTTGAGGTCAGCAATGTATAATTTCCTTTCCATCTTTTGTTAGTCTAGGAATGGGTAGTGGAGCAAGACAAGTGACACGTTCGTGTTCTCTTTGAGGAATGAAGGATGAGTACCTGAGGCACACCTTATACTGATTATGATATAGGCTGTATCTTCCAGTCGTCTAAGGCGTGGCGATTCGCTGTGCAGAGTTGCGTCCCCTGGACACGCCAGAAACCTATGATTGTGGGTTCGAATCCCGGTTCACCCCGATTATGTTTCTATGTTTGTCAGCACCATACCCGTACATCGAAGTCGTAAACGTCTGAGACCTGCATCACTTCGGGCTTTCCTCCCACATTAAGCTGACACGCCGTGATATAACTGGAATAATGTTAAAAGCGGCGTTAAACCCAACTCACTCACTCACTCACGTTCTTCTTCATGACGTCAGCAGGAGCCCATTGTCAGAGACTTCTAATGCAATGTGTGATTATAGTTGTACACCAAATCGGACAGGGCGTCGGTGTATTTGTCTGTGTTGTTGTGTGTCAGATATCTAGACACGAGAGATCTCAGTGTCCTAATGACTCTCTCTGCATAAGCCTTGATATCTTCGATTCGAGTCACAATTAATTTAAAGTGTGTCACAAACTCTTTGAAAGAAGCTGTAAATTCCTGGCCTTTGTCCACCCTGATCATCTTAGGTCTACGACCGACGACAAGACATTTTAGGCCTACTGTCACGGTGTCTGGCTTTTTGTTTCTCGGTGGAACTACCAACAAATACCGTGAAAGAATATCAGTGGCCAGCAGTGAATAAGTACACCACCGTTTGCATTCGCATAGCGACTGGCGTCAGCTCAGTCCATGTCCCACATTTCATCTAGCTCAGTCACGTGAACGCGTAACCTAGGGAACTTGTACCTCACAGGTTTATGAGAAGAATAGGTTCCAGAAAGTATTTCACTTTCTTATGGGATTTTATTTGCCCACGAATATGTCAAGCATTCAGAAATGTATTGACGTTAAACGATCCAGGTTTACCAGGGACAAAATACTTTTCTAAACTATTGCTATGTTCGCCTGTCTCATTTAACATGATGATAAATGAAAACAAATTTAGTTATTCGTATAACACATTGGACGCACATTTACATATGCGTATACATGATATACAAACAGTGATATTATTCAAAAAGCGTTATACATGCTGTAGCCTTTAGACCTGCTTCTTTAGATTGTCTTCCCATTGTTCAGTCTTAATGTTCGTATTCATATAGGTAACACATTGAAACTGACAACATACAAGAGTACTCATATGTTTCAGTTGTGGATCCTGAGCGCCAAATCACGCATTCCATCAATCACTTGAGTTTCATCTGTTTCCTTCCAGGCCATGTCAATATAGCGATCCACTATGTCCTCATTTGACAATCCAGTACAGGTGTGTGGTGTCTGCTCTCCAAAGTCAAACCAACAACCCAAACACATCTCTGACAGTAGACGTTTCACGAGTTCAGCCAGGTGACGTTTCACGAGTTCAGCCAGGTGAAAAGCATAACTAAATATTATGAGGTTTTCGAGACACACGTTCCTTAAAAACATGTCTACTTCGTCAACAGCAACAGGTGAGTTGACAGGGCTTCTTAGCTGTAGGCCTTTAGGCACGAGTTTGTTGTCTCTGCATCGCATCCAGAACGTCAGGTGGTTGGAAGAATGGATGTACTTGTTCTCCAGGTTGTTGAGTCGGTTGATGGTTGAGATTGCCACGCCCCCATGAAGACGACGAATAACTTTGTTGATAGGCATTTAGAAGTTGGAGTACTAAGTAAGGATAAGAATTTATGGATGAACAACTTCTTTATTACAATTAAGAGCGGCGTTTCGGTGTAGGTTCTAACACCGTTATCAAGCAAGTGATTTACAGAGTGTGGTTGGCAAGTTGGCCTACAGCTAAGAAGCCCTGTCAACTCACCAGCAGCACGCGCCATCCTCCAGAAAATGAACATTGCCTCCTACTACTATATATACTTGCCAACCACACTCTGTAAATCACTTACTTGATAACGGTGTGAGAACCTACACCGAAACGTCGCTCTTAATTGTAGTAAAGAAGTTGTTCATCCATAAATTCTTATCCTTACTTTGAGGTGCAAGGCCCGTTCCACAAGGCGATCGTATTGTAGCGCAACGACAGTCGTTAGTCTGTTAAAGTATGTGAGTTGCGATAGTCTTAGCCCTACGATAATTTTGTGAATTCTAAAGGTGGACCGTTGTATGCTATTAAATTCATACGTTTCAACTTTTGACGTGTTTGAAGAATTATTCTGTTAAACTCAATTGGACTATGCCGTGGATCGTGTAGGTGTCAGCCTATTCATACACAACAGTATAATTCTAAAAAACGTTATAAATGGCAAGTAATAAATAAAATACTAAACTCGCTCCCGTGTAAAACCAATTTTATGAAACTCGTGAATAGTTGTGGTATCTAACGAGCGAAAGCGAGTTAGATACCACAACTATTCACGAGTTTCATAAAATTGGTGTTATAAAGAGCTCGTTTAGTATTCTTTATTTCCTTTGTTGATGCAATACAATTGCAGCGGTTCCTTTCAATGTCATCGTTTCATAGTTTTTCTACTACTCACAATTATCGGATGACGTCACAATAACATTCTAATGAGGTCAACAATGCTGTCCGGATGACGTAAACAATTCACTGGCGCGCGTGAGGTAATATTTGCACTCGTCCACATACATTTGTATGGACTCCATTGTTTCTTACCCCATGTTAACACCAAAAAAAACCCAACTAAGTTCAAGTAACAAGGTACGTAATATTTAATATGTCATTTCCCGCATCTTCTCACAATCCTCACGTCGATTACCTGTACATTTTCTCACAATACCGATTGTCATATCTCTCCCGGTTTTGGATGCGATCGTTCGGCCATCGCGTTTATCTGCGTTGCCCAGTTACAACTATGTGGAACAACTCAAGAGACATGCACTCCCCTCTCAAAATGACGTCGTCATATACGACGTCATCAAGTTGCGAGCGTATGTTCGAAGCTCCAGAAATGACGTCAGAACAGAATAATGTCTCATGAAATAAACCACGCTTCGTTCTTCATTGTTCTTTGCGATTTATCGCGTAGCTATCCTTTATATCCATATGATCCAGATATACACATAGTATTCGTTCATATATACACACGTCTAGCCTACTCGTCGTGGACAATGCCGAAATGCACGGCAGGCGATTTTTCCACAAAGGAAGTGAAAGTTTTCCTCTAGGTTTGCAAACATCGTTTCAATGTAGCATTTTCCTATATTTCTTGCGTACTGAGGATTTATGCCAAAACCTTTTCAGTGATGTGACACGCGAAAACGTGGGTTCCATCTTCAGCTAAAAACGAAATGATTGCTGGTGTAAAGGCAGATGACTGTCGCTTCAAAATGTCAGCGGATCACATATTCCCTGAAATTAGTTGCAATTATGTGTTATGATATTATGAGCATATGGTAAATGTTAACTTCAAATCTGGAATATGGACATGGACACATTGGTGAGTTTCTTTGTGTTACTGCTATAGTGGTCATGTCTTAAATCGGATAGGAATTCTGTGAGCAAGTTTAGAGATATTATAGCTGGAATCATTCATTGTTCCCGCTGAATAATGTCTAAACCCACCTGCACGGGTTTGTTGTCAACAGACATATATAACGTCGTTCGGGTGTTCATATCCTAGATGCAGCCTGATTATGATCGAGTTGTTACACAATACCCCGTGCTCGTGGTACTGGTATTTTGAGTTTCCCTCTCACATTATGCTGGCACATCGAGATTAACTGATAGCGGGGTTAAGTCCGACTCACTCACAGAAAGCATTTTTACGAAGAACCCAAAGAGGGCCCCAAACAAGGAAACAAGGGCGTATAACTCGCATTTACAGGTAGTGACCGGCGCTAAAAGTAAAGCTAAGCTCAGAACATCCCACGAACTTGTTAGTAATATTCGTGGTTATATCCTGACTGTCCCAATTTGTGAGAAGCGCACGTGATTATAACATGTGACTATCGCATGACCAGTAAACGGGAAACTAAGTCAGTTGTATGTACCGTACTGTCAGAAGCTGATTACTTGGGATTTCTAGTTCAAAAGTTTGACAAAATCAGGTTGGTGTTTTTCTTTCTGAAAGTTTATGGAACTAGCCTGGTACATGGGGACACGCAGTCGGTATTATGTGTTGTTTTTTTTATAAATCAGTATGAAGTACTGGGATAAGCCTACTTGACCTGAAAATTTCTTGGTGAACATATGATGGATGTAACGATTCTAAAAAGAAATTAACCGATCTTACATTACCTTAAAATTATTTATTATTGATAATTTCGTAATTGAATTTACCTAGATCTATAGAAGTTATAAATACCAATGGTCGTTATAGTCTTGTAGGGGCAGGGGGAGGGGTGTAGCCTAGTGGTTAAAGCGTTAGCTCGTTACGCCGAAGACCTGGATTCGATTCCCCACATGGGTACAATGTGTGAAGCCAATTTCTGGTGTCCCCCGCCTAGATATTGCTGGAATATTGCTAAAAACGGCATTAAACCATATTCACACACTCACTCACTCACTCACTATATTCTTGTACTGTGTGTGTAGGCTGCTGCGTGGTCGTATGTGATTGCTTCAGTTTTTTTCTAAATAAAGAGAGCAAAATCAGAGTATTAGGGCTGGGACGAGTTAAAATTTACTAACCGGGTACCCAACCCCCTATTACCCGACCCTACCCGGGTACCCGCTGTTAGTCTCAAAAGATATACATGTACAAATATCTGATTGGGAATAGTTTGACTGTAGCCATGGCAAAATGTATTTAGATACTCATATAAAACAATCTGGTCATGCATACACTAAAGGTGACTGAAGTTTTATCTTTATAAGATATATAACCTAAAGTCAAAAGAAAGAAATGCATAGTCAGAAAGAAATGCAAACATTAGTTACTAGTAATGTAACCGTGGAAGTTCTAGATACGTTTTGCCATTAAACAGTTTATCATATGCCTAACCACGGGTCTGGGTAGTCCTGTGGGTATTTGGGTCCTACTAAGGAACATCCAAACCCTAGTACCCGAGTTATCTGTCCAAGTCGTACAGAGGATGTAATGTTCTTGATGACATTGCAAGAAAGAATAGGTTATGATGGAGCCATTTTAGTATGTGTAGGGGTGAATGGACTTGAGGTACTTGTATGACCAAGTGCAGGCATTGCTTCTATTTTTCAGGATGTTAACAAGGCTGTTTGTCCTAGCTGTGTGTTTAATCCAGGCTACTGATGGACGTGGTGCCTTCAGAAAGATGTTTCCAGAAAAATATCCAGAAATGCTCCAAAATGGAGTTGATCCTGGACAGCCCCTTTTCCTGACTCCCTACTTAGAGAGTGGTGATATCGAGAAGGGTAAGAAAGCAATATATAAACTTTTCCTGATTTCCTCCCTAGGAGTGGTGATATCCAGAAGGGTAAGAAGGCAATACATAACCTTTTCCTGACTCCCCACCAAGGAGTGGTGATATCGAGAAGGGTGAAAAAGCAATATATAACCTTTTCCTGACTCCCTACAAAGGAGTGGTGATATCCAGAAGGGTAAGAAGGCAATACATAACCTTTTCCTGACTCCCTACAAAGGAGTGGTGATATCGAGAAGGGTGAAAAAGCAATATATAACCTTTTCCTGACTCCCCACCAAGGAGTGGTGATATCGAGAAGGGTGAAAAAGCGATATATAACCTTTTCCTGACTCCCTACAAAGGAGTGGTGATAACCAGAAGGGTAAGATGGCAATACATGACCTTTTCCTGACTCCCTACCAAGGAGTGGTGATAACGAGAAGGGTGAAAAAGCAATATATAACCTTTTCCTGACTCCCCACCAAGGAGTGGTGATATCGAGAAGGGTGAAAAAGCAATATATAACCTTTTCCTGACTCCCTACAAAGGAGTGGTGATATCCAGAAGGTTAAGATGGCAATACATGACCTTTTCCTGACTCCCTACCAAGGAGTGGTGATAACGAGAAGGGTGAAAAAGCAATATATAACCTTTTCCTGACTCCCCACCAAGGAATGGTGATATCGAGAAGGGTGAAAAAGCAATATATAACCTTTTCCTGACTCCCCACCAAGGAGTGGTGATATCCAGAAGGGTGAAAAAGCAATATATAACCTTTTCCTGACTCCCTACAAAGGAGTGGTGATATCCAGAAGGGTAAGATGGCAATACATGACCTTTTCCTGACTCCCTACCAAGGAGTGGTGATATCGAGAAGGGTGAAAAAGCAATATATAACCTTTTCCTGACTCCCTATCAAGGAGTGGTGATATCCAGAAGGGTAAGAAGGCAGTACATAACCCTTTTCCTGACTCCCTACCTTGGAGTGGTAATATCCAGAAGGGTAAGAAGGCAGTACATGACCTTTTCCTGACTCCCTACCTGGGAGTGTTGATATCGAGAAGGGTAAGAAGGCAATACTTAAACTTTTCCTGACTCCCTACCTAGGAGTGGTGATATCGAGAAGGGTGAAAAAGCAATACTTAACCTTTTCCTGACTCCCTACCTGGGAGTGGTGATATCGAGAAGGGTGAAAAAGCAATACTTATCTTTTTCCTGACTCCCTACCTGGGAGTGGTGATATCGAGAGGGGTAAGAAGGCAATACATAACCTTTTCCTGACTCCCCACCAAGGGGTGGTGATATCGAGAAGGGTGAAAGAGCAATACATAACCTATTTCTGACTCCCTACCTGGGAGTGGTGATATCGAGAAGTTTAAGAAGGCAATACATAACCTTTTCCTGACTCCCCACCAAGGGGTGGTGATATCGAGAAGGGTGAAAGAGCAATACATAACCTATTTCTGACTCCCTACCTGGGAGTGGTGATATCGAGAGGGGTAAGAAGGCAATACATAACCTTTTCCTGACTCCCTACCTACGAGTGGTGATATCCAGAAGGGTGAAAAAGCAAAACATAACCTTTTCCTGACTCCCTACCAAGGAGTGGTGATATGAGAAGTTTAAGATGGCAAAACATATCCTTTTCCTGACTCCCCACCTGGGAGTGGTGATATCCAGAAGGGTTAGAAGGCAATACATGACCTTTTCCTGACTCCCCACCTGGGAGTGGTGATATTGAGAGGAGTAAGAAGGCAATACATATCCTTTTCCTGACTCCCTACCTAGGAGTGGTGATATCCAGAAGGGTAAGATGACATCTATACAAGGCTTAAAAAATTAAAAGAATTGGTTCTCAGGGAATAACTAGTATGTAACCAAATACACAGTTATGTGCCATCAACCTGGGAAAGGGCCTCCCTACATATAACTCCTATTGCCATCATAACACCAGAGGCACAGTAAAGCAGCTTTAGTGTACATGTTATATTGGATTGCATTGTTTTTAAGTATTTAGATTATATTTTTTAATGTGGCTGTAGCCTAGGGTGCTGCAACCCACTGTACATCACTTGGGCGTTCCTCGCACATCAAGCTGACACATCATGATGTATGCACATATCACATCATTATCTTCATTTGTGTGTAGGTTTTTACCATTTTGTTTACTGACATACTGCAAAACGACATGTTTAAAAGAGTGAATGATGGTGAAAAAATAAAAACCTGGGAACTTTGATTTTTGATGGGCTGAACAAGGAACCACACATTGATTTTTACACAGCTGAGCTGACTAAAATGAGGATCAGCTGGTAACTATTGTGTCCTCCCACCTTGTGCTGTGAACCACCTGCCCCAGATTACAGGGAGCTATCGTATGATGGGCATATGGCTATCTTGGATGAAACTGAAATGCATCTGATGGATTGTTATGTGAGAATATAGACATAGCGTCACACCTTGTCTTGGATCTTGTACTATGTTAATCTTAGTGTATCACAAGAATGACCTTTAAACAGGATTGTTGGGCTGCAACAATTCAGTGTCAGGCCAGGGGTCAGTCTCCTGGCTTACAGCAAGTCATGGCAAGTCACATGCATGGCCTTATCTTTCATAATTAGGCACAAGATATTTCAACAACAACCATGTGATTTATCTAGGATTTAAAGGCATGTTGAATGGTTAGAAACCCATACACAAACACTGTGGACTCTCCTTAAGTTGCAAATCAAGGGACTGTGCTATCTATATATCCAGTTTGCCATTTATCTATATTTTACTATATTATACTATTTTTTCACATACTCTGCTCCTAATATAAAAACACATCCATGAAGTGAAAAAACAGCACCAAGAATGTTATTGTACAGGCCGCATGTCAGTGAGGTACATGTACCAGTCAGTGAGGTGCTGAAAACCTATTCTAACTTGGATCTTTATTGGTGATATAAGTAAGTAAAGAGAAAAGATTTATTATGCTAAAATGACTTCCACAGGAGATATCCTTTACTGAGATCAAGCAATTACATCACAATGCTTTGCAGACCATGATGTCACAATCAAATGACATCACTAATCTCTTGCGGCTGTAGCCGGGTGGTGGGGCTAACTCTGAAGGAGTTAGCCACATAAGTACCACCTCCTCATAACCCCCTAGTATTCATTATATATATACATTTTCATCAATTATCACCATCACTTCATGTTGTGTTCATTATATGTTGTCCTTGCCTGCAGTTGAATGTCAGCCAACTAACATCAACCTTGATACCCATTTACAACCTCTGTGATTTCTACAGCTTCACCTTGACTTCCCCTATCTATGCATTATATGTCCACCACTTCATGTGACTGTGAAGCATCTTGACTTCCTTTAATACCTGTCAGATGCTACCTTTCTTCTGATGGCCCTTTGGTCCACTTCCTTAAACTTCCTTTCTCACCTGCCCTCCTCATGCATTCTTCATGAACTCCCAACATCTGACAAAACACAGAATAAACTTCATCATCATCCAAGAACTGCCTCATGTTATAACTAGCAGCCCAGTGGCTGCACACATCACACCACGTCGGCTACAAAGTGGCACCCAACATGGGGCTGCTGGCTTCATCAACATCATCACTTGCACAGTGAGAAGAGGCATATCACATTTCATCGTATTATCATGGAACTGTTCTAGGTGAACAATTCCTTCCAAATGACGTGCTGGTTTTCTTGGGGAATTAGTCAGCAAAGAGCCAGAGTCACAGGAGACTTATCACAATTTTATTTACAAGAACAATTAACAATTTACAATATCTTAGAAAATAACTGAGGGTGCCACAGAGAGTCGGTACACACTCTGGGCTGTGGGAGAGAGGTCTGCTTGGTAAGAGAGTCAAACCTCTTCTCTGCCTAAAACCTTACTTACTTATATTAGGAGATTTTACGTGCGCTTTCCGACTGGAGCGTATTTCGCACACGGGCCCGGCCGGGCCATTTAGTGGTATAAAAGTGGTAGCGAGAGGAGTGCAACCAAGGAGGGGGGTTTAGTGGTTGCTTATATAAAGTTTTGAAATTTTGAGATTTGGAATACATGCCTTGGGGGAGTGGTTGGGACTAAGGGAGTGTGTGGGGGTGAGTTGATGTTTTTTGGATGTTTAGTGTTGGTGGTTTAGTGAAGTTTTAAATACGGTTAATTAGTTCTGTTTTGGTTAGGTAAATGCCTAGGGCTTTGAAGTTTTCTATTTTATTTTGGGGGTTAAGGATTGCTTCTAAGGTAAGAGCGTTATTTGGATTTAGGTTGGTTTGTAATGTTGTACGTTGTGTGAGGTAGTGGGTGCAATGTAGTAGTACGTGGTCTATTGTTTCTGGGTGAGTGCAGTGTGGGCACTTCCCGTTTGCGTGTTTTTTTAGTTTTAGAAGGTGGTTATTTAGTTTGGTGTGTCCTGTTTGGAGTTTGGTGATTATTCTATCGATTTTTTTGGAGGGATGGAGGATTTTTGGTTTGGTGAGGGGTTTTTTGAGGGTTTTTAGGATTTGGGTTTTTGTGTTTTGATAGAGGTTATGCCATTTTTGGGTGATTTTACGTTTGTTTATACTTTTGATTTCTGCTTTAGATATTGGTAGCTTAAGGCTTATGTCTGGTATTTTTAGAGATTGTTTTGCGGCTCTGTCTGCGTTTTCATTCCCGTAAATTCCTACGTGAGCTGGTATCCAGATAAGTTGTATGTTTTTGCCTGCCTCTGTTAGTTTGTTTACGCTTTTGAGAATTTGGTTTATTAATTTGGGGCGGTTTTTGGTGTTTTTGTTTTGGAGGGCCTGAAGTCCGCTTAGTGAGTCTGAGAGTATTAAGATTTTTTTTTGGTTTTTGGTGTGATGGCTGTGGAGCGCCGTGGCGATACCCATGAGCTCTGCGGTGAATATAGATTGGTTGTTTGGGAGTCGGAAGGATTGAGTATTTTTGACTGGTTGGGCTATATGGACTCCGAAACCTGTGTGATTTGTGATCGGATCAGCGGATCCGTCTG